ATCGCGAACAGCAGGAAGTAGATGAACCGCGCGTGGTTGCGGTGCCCGACGCACGTGTTGATCCACGGACAATGATGGTCCATCTTCATGACGCAGCGTTGACACTTGCGGCAGTGGTGCGAGCGCGGCGCCTTGTAGCCCTCGCACACCTTGCAGTATTGCAGGTACCGCTCAGCGTTCTTGTCCGCCTGCAGGGAGCGGAATTTGACGATGATTTATTATTATTTAATTATTTTAATTCGTGGGGAATGGAATTTGACGATTATTCATTATTATTTAACTATTTTAATTCGTGGGGAATGGTATTTGACAAGTCTTGGTTGTAATTAATGTGTTTTAATCAGCACGATCGAAGTTACAATGTTGGCATCACAAATCAATGAAGCAACTACATATGACATCGTGTGATGAATAACTACTTCCATGAAATGAGTGATAAAAATTCTGCGACACACGCACACACACACGCACCTAACCACGCACACACGCACGCACCTACCCATGCACACACACATGCACACACACACTATGTGAACTTACAGGTTTCCATCCAAATTTCACAAAGCCCGGTCCATCATACAGTCCAAGAAAGAAGTTTGATAGTGTCAACAGGTTCCATCCCATAAAAACACTCATGTGCATAAACCCTACAAATACAATACAAGGAATATAAACAACATATAAACATACGCTACCATCTATAAGATTTCGCATGTATAAATAATACAAATTATAACATCTCTGGATCTGTGAATGTCACAGCACTTTGACACAATCACTATGACAGTCAATCATCTGGTTAAGAACTTGAGAGCATAGATATATAGGTACAGGTATATAGATATATATATGTGTAAATTGTAATTGTAAGGCCGTGGCTACGCGACCGGTTCCGGGCGAGGAGCCGCCAGGCTACGCGTCCAGACATCCATCTCACACAGAGATCTTGCGACACGCACATGCATGATTGCGCAATGGGACGCTCTGCTGATTGCTGTGTGTGTGTGTGTGAGAGCGAGAGCGAGAGAGAGGGAATGGGAATGTGTATGTGTGTGTGTATGCGTGAGAGAGAGAGAGAGCCTCAGAGAGGTGTGTGTGTGTGTGTGTGTGTGAGAGAGAGAGAGAGAGAGAGAGAGAGCGAGAGCGAGAGAGAGCTGTGTGTGTGTGAGAGAAAGAAAGAGCGAGAGAGGACGGATGAAAGTATAGATGGCAGCAGAGCATCCCGCTTGCGCAATCATGCGTGTACGCGAGTCGCGCGAACAATGTGTGAGTGGATGTCCGGATGCGTAGCCTGGAGGCTAGGCGACCGGTTCTGGACGCGTAGCCACTGCGATATATTATACCGGTATACGGGTATACAATGTAGGGCCTACCTCCTATACTTAGCAGTGGAGGCCAGTACATCAGAATACAATTTATAGTTGTAGTTGATATCACTGTGATGACAAAGAGAGCCAGTAGAGGGCCCCAGTGTAGGAGTTGCCTCCATGTACCGAACGTAGTCGTCATTATCTGCTGTTGACGAAGAATGTAGTGTCACTAGTGTGTAGCTTTAGCTTAGTTTAGACACTGAAGTCTGCAGGACGATATCAAATGATTCCACAATGTCAATGAGTCGAATGGAAGCTCGAATGGAATGGAGGCTGTCAGAGTAGGCAGTATCACTAGATCGCGGTTAGCCTGACGTCTTCATAAAATGGTTCCCTGTGATTCAAATTATTGGCCACCTATTAATATCAAAGAACCAACCACGGCTTATAATATCACACTCACAGGCCAACTTATAATATACGGCCGTAAAATGAAATGGGCGCTGACATGTTATTTCGTATTCATAGCGTGAATGTTCTCTTGAATGAGTTCATGTCACGTGGCCTACATGTGGTAGATGGGTTCCGTATCTCTTCACAAAAAATAAAGTTATTGAATATAGTATAGACTGTAAAGACTCGGGACCCATCTATTAATAATGGCTGCTTCCATTGACAGGGATAATTTGCGCAAAGCGCTAGTATTTCGTTCACCAAACGCAGAAGAAGACCAGGAAACAGGTAACGTTTGGCGACTGTGGCTAAAGGAGCACCTTAGTAACTTTGGCAAAAATATAGTACACGCTCATTCCTGTTTGCTGTGGAGTATTGTCTTATTCAATATTCAAAAGTTGTTAACGCTAACGTTACATAACATTAACAAACAGTAAGTTAACTAAGTAAGTTACAAATACAACTTCGAACTCGTAAACTAACCAAGTACTTCAAATGAAATTCAAATTCAACAACAGTCAACACAAGTATTTGTGCATAATTAGTATTTTCACACAATGTACAATGGCACAAGTGTAAGAATAACAAGTTAACGAAATTTATATGAAATGCCTTTTGTCAAGATTCAATATTCAAGATGTTTAGATTCAAGATTCAATATGTTTATTTGTGCATAAGTCGTCCCGTGTATATACAGTTTACAGCGGCAAATTGGAAATATACAAGTCATAGTTAATATCTAGTTTACAAAGTCAAAGGAAGCACAGGAGTGGCAAAAGAACCCGCAGGTCATGTTTGTCGTCAGATCGATCTGTCGTAGATCTGTCGTAATGAAACATAAAACATAAAAGGCTGACATGAATCAAATTTGTTTATGCCTGGAATAAAAGTAATTTACTTCGTTTACCTTCCTTTACTTAGTTAATTTACTTTAAGTAATGTCAGAAAAAGCGAGTGCCAGTATTTTTCATACTCTTACCCGACATCCGTTTAATTATTACACATAATTAGCGGATAATTACACATCAGCAATGCATGGCGAATGTTCTCATTTATGATTTTTCATTAACAGATGCAACCAATGCGCTTATGAACAGACTTCAGATTGAACACGAAATCGGAGCTAGCAAGAAATCGATTCAGAAAGGTATTTATCTAACGATGTTTATTATGGTTTTGGCAGGGGGTAGAACAGTGCCCCATGTTAACAGGTGGCAGCACTAGTACACAAGGCGTTGTCAGGCTAACAACAGGAAGTAACAATGGGCCGTCCAGTGGGAATGCCAAAAGTAGTTGACGGTAGCTGTTAGTAACTAGAGTACTGGACAATTGGAACACACTCAAGACTGAGACAGTCTGTACGTAGCACCACACTAAATCCTTTTAAGGGACGGTTTACCAGGGAGTGGCAAACCAGACCATGCCTGTACCAGTACCTTTTTTCCTACTGACTACCATCTCGCACAGGCATGCCAGTGATTATTCAGACATATATACTAACACGAAACAGGAACATGAACAGTTCCTCAGCGTTATACAATCTCAATACTGTAACTGTAAACAGGAATGAAGATATAAATCAAAACTTGTTGTAGTAACCGGAATAAACTTTATTAACTTGTACACTGTAGCCACATCGCACAAAGATCCAAAGAACGCGCACACGCGCATACGCGCGTGTGCTCACCTCCGCGCCCAGAACCCGAATCCCCTCCTACATCTCTGTCCTATCTATTTCCCCCAAACTCCTACAAACATACTGCCCGCACATGTACCCGTTCTCACAGACTACGTCCTACCCCAATTTCACAGTGACCCTCTAATCTGTAACCTAACCACATTTACCATTCTCTCTAATACATCAATGTAGCAATGACGCTCTGTCTAGCTAGCCATGTCACACGTGTAAAACAGATGTTACATTACTGACGACATTTCCTGTAAATATTGACCGATCATAAGATAAGTCATAAGATAAGTCATAAGATAAGTGACTGATGTTAGAACTGTTTCTCTGTCAGATCTTCACGACCAGAGACTGTCGCGACTACGTCAGAAACTCGAGCAGATCTCGGCCGACGATTGGAAGTACACACCCGCCGAGAAGATCCTTGGTCTCCAGCAATAACATCGCACGCTCCAACACCACCGTACGTAAGTAAGTAACGTATATATATATAGGGAAGCCTATTGCTACCCGTGATCGTATGAGTGGTTACGCGTGAGTGTGTGTAGTACACCCTTGCTAGCGTCTATGTGAATGCAGATAATAATAGACTATAACGAACAGTATGAACGTATTCAGGAATCTCTTTAATTGAACAGACTTAACTATGCATCCGCCCATCACGGGGCGAATGCGTACAGTCGAGGTAGGCGAGTAACATCACCTAACTTACGAGGTTAAGGCTGTGTGGTAGCTGTCTCAAACCAATATCGTCTATGTCTGTATGTCTGTAAGTTGTATGTCACTATCGCTCGGTCTCTCTCTCTCTGGTCGCACACGTGGTTATATACTGCCATAGGTATAGACACGCCTACCTATTGTTTATGATCAATTCGTACTACATTACTGTCTGTTATTGGCTAATTCTACCCTGTCCATTCCCGCGTTACAACTTTACACAGCTGGCCATGTATGCCAACCCAGAACAATAGGTTAATCCTATATCTTTACTTATCTGTCTTTCAACGGTATTATATATATATATATATAGTTTATCCATTAGTGTGCATGTCTCACGGACACTGTGTGCCGGACTTACAATCAAATACTTTCTTTATCTCCCTCAGTTACCCTGACCGTCATTTACCTGATCATTACCGTCATGGCCGACGTCATGAAACTCGACCTGTACGCCATCTTGGAGGTGGACGGTGGCGCCACCGAGCAGGAGATAGTGAAAGCTTACCGCAGGAAGGCGCTGCGATGTCACCCGGACAAAAACCCGGATAATCCGCGAGCCGCTGAGCTGTTCCACGAGCTTTCCCGCGCTCTGGAAGTGTTGACGGACGCTGCGGCTAGGTCCGCGTATGATAAGGTGAGCTAGCGGGTGCAGCACGACGTGTTGGTGTCCGCACCGTGCACGTTACGACGACCCGACGAATATGAATGTGTTTGGCATTGCTCATACGTATTGTAGTGTATCGGTACAGCACTTGGCTTCTTGTAAACTTGGGTTTTTGTACTGGTTAGCTAGTTGAGTTCGCTGTAATACCGTACGCTGCACAGCGCGACCGACAGCCAGCGATAAGCGAAGCTAGTGAGTCACGTGAGCGGATGTTCGCGGGACGGTAGCGCACACCTGTTATTTTTGATTGAGCTGTTAACGTGCACGGACGCGTGTTTTGCAAGAACAAAGAGAAAGTCGTTTCACAGAAATTCCGCAGTTTTCTTGTGTCCGTATCTGGAACGATACCGTATAACCGTATCGATCGTGTTTCTCGCTAGGTGATCAAGGCGAGGGATGCCGCCAGAGTGCGCCACCGTGAGCTGGACTCCAAGCGGAGGAAGCTCAAGGAGGATCTGGACACGAGAGAGAACAGCGCGCGGGAAGGCACGGAGAAGAGGGAGGAGGCAGGGAGGAAGCTGCAGCGGGAGATCGAGCGTCTGCGAAAGGAAGGTTCGCGTCTGCTGGAGAGGGAGCAGGAGATGTTGAAGGAACAGATGAAGGTCGAGCCAAGGTCGCGCGAGACGCCTGCAGCGGGTGAGTGCGGTTCATCAACGTATACGTAGAGGCGTCTGCTAATGGCTACTTTGCTAATTAAAATGCTAATTGCACGTTTACTTAGCTCTCAACTATATCAGTACAGTGGACCACCGAGATTCGAATTTAATTCATTCCACAGATTTGTTCGTATCTCGAAAATTTCGTGTCTCGAACCCTATATATGACGTCTAGCAATTCACTGTTGATCCTCGATTTCCCGGACTAATACGGGGACTATCTGCCCGGGAAATGCAAAAGTCCGAATTTCCTGCGAATGTAAAAAATAGCCTGAAATTTTACCGAAACGTTAAACTGTAGTACACATAACAGCGGGGTCCGGAAAATAGAGGGTCAATAGTACTGTGCTCTCAACTATATGTATTCAGTTAATTTACATACGTCTTGCATTCTTGCCGTTGCGCGTTCAGGTTCTTAAGAGACTAGACCAGTGGTTCTTAACCTTTTTTGAATCATGGACCCCTTTGAAAATCCGGTGAAAGCTACGGACCCGTCCCCAGAAAAATGCACCTAAGCACATAATTAATATAAACACAAAACTTTGCATACAATGAGCTTCACGGACTCCCTGAAGCCCATCCACGACCCCTTTCATCGAACACAGGTTAAGAACCCCTGGACTAGACTGAGTGATCTAGATTTCTACATGAACAGGACTGAGAACATTTCAATTTATCACTTACTGCATTATTTTTTTCGCGTATTTAGCAGTTATGTAATGTAAGTTATTTTGTCGTTAGTTGATACGCGAGTTTGCTCGTGGTCCGAGATGCCCGACTAAGAATGTGAGTAAGAAAGCATAGTAACGCAGAAAACGAGTAAAAAACTGGTTATGGCTAATTAAGTTCATCTGTCTGTTATAATCCAATAAATGAATAAGTTCTTTCTCACCAAACAAGAATTTAAACGTACCGGTAAGGTGGTACGTTTAAATTCTTGTTTGGTGAAAAAGAACTTATTAATTTAATAATTTCATATAATTAATTTAAATCAATATCATTAATAATTAATTAACATAACCGCGGCGTGTATTGCAGATGGCGGGGAGCAGACGGCGGCGCCACCTAGGCTGAAGGTGACGTGGAGGAGCGCGCGCGGTGACGCGAGTAATGGCGGATACTCCCGCGACACGCTCGCGCGCCTGCTCTCCGCTCACGGCGACCTATCGCACGTGATCGTCTCGGCTAAACGCAACGGTAGCGCCATCGTTGAGTTTGTGACGACGCGTGCGGCGGCGGCGGCGCTGCGTGATGCGCGCGGCCTTCCCGCGAACCCTCTCACACTCGCGTGGCTCAGTGGCGAACCCCCCGCGAACGGTGGCGCCCCCGCTCGCCCGACCGGTGGTGGCGCCCCCTTGCCGGCTTCGGCGGCGGGAGACGACTTCGAGGCTGCGGTGTTGGCGAGATTGCTGCAGGCGCAGCGCGACAAGCGGGCGGACGGT